AGATGCTGCAGGGTCGTGCCCTGGAATTAGACAACATTTGTCAGGCAATCAGTATAAAGGACCTATGTAAAAGGCCCTGAGGAAATCCTCTCACTGAAGAGAGTTTGAACTGCTGATGAGAGCGAAAGGACTGGCTGTGTCTGCAGCAACTTCCAGCTGACGACAGGGTGTCTGTGTGCACTGCAAGAGACTCGGTTCGAAACTGGTTGGGATTCTCCCAGAGGTCTCCTAGAGGAGCCGTGCTGTTGTCCGCATCCCCTGAGTGCTGCTCTCTGGGTATACTGGCTACTGCAACGCTGCCGCCGCATCGTCTGCCAACACACCACATGTAGGAGCACTGAGGTATTCCCACCCTAACTCAAGAGAATCGGGATTCTGCAGGAGTTACATGATATAAGTTTTCTTTTGCTTAGTTACAGTGAATCTTTAGTCAAATCTGAACGACTTTGCCACTGGATTTAATGGAGGTTTTCCACCAGACTGGAGAGACGTTGATAAACTGTGCCTTTGCTCGGCGCACTTATGAGAAAGTCACCTCTTAGTAACTCACCCTGCAGTCTGTAGAGTATCAGTTAATGGTGCTTAGGCAATTTCCAAGTGATTGTTTTTCCCTTTGGTAGAATACCTGCCTTTGGAGGTGCTAAAAGACCATCAAGTCTCCTGACCAGCCAGTAGTGTAGCATAACTACAGTCCTTGTAGTGAAACACAATTTCTTTCTAAATGGAAGTACCGATAGCTTTCTTTTCGATTCACTTTGAAGCACATCTTCTGAAGACGTGTAGGATGTTGGCAGCCCTTTACTGAACAGAAGACTTAGGGATTGCTATTACAGGTCTCAAATCAGAGTGGTTTTCTGGAGAGTATTTTCCAATTGTCAGGATGCTGATTTCTCCTGTTTAATTTTGAGACACGCTGGTTTATTTAACAAGAGCCTATAAGGATCTAAACGATTGCACTGCATTATATATAAAACAAAAGCTTTCCTTGCCAACTGTAGCGTTCTTTCAAAGGAAAAGGTTTTATTATACTCAGAGCATGTCTTTCATTACTATGAGGCAGAAAGCTCTTGTTGAGATTGCCTGAGACTTGACCAGACGGCGCCCTAGATGTGCTTAGTTTATTTTTATCTATGTGTATGATACTAGTTGTGTGTAATGAATTGCAACAAATAGGTATTTTGTGTATATCTAAAAGCAGCGATAGTTTCATGTATGAATGTGCAACAGGCTTGTGACTGAATGCTGTTGCTTAACTTTTTACTATAGCCGAGCATCAAAAAAAGACTAATAAAAGTTAAACATAAAAAATAGGAATGCAACAATTCCTGGGTTTCTGGTTTGTTCTTGGTTACAAAGATTTGAGCCAAAGGCAGAACCTCTGTTTTCTCTGAGCTTGCAACATGCTGTATTCGTGGGCTATCTGCAGTGGAATGTAGCTGGGTTGCTGTACAATCTTTTGTTATCTAGGACTATGATGTAAATCTGCTAATTGTCTTCAGAAAAACAGTGTGTTAATTTGCAGCAGTAATTCTACTGGTTTCTGTTGTTAGTTTTACTTGGTACCATTCAGTGTAAGGCCTCTGATCCGGCATTGCTTTCTCCTTTTGAGGGTAAAACTCCTCTTCAGTCCTTCTCCTTGAGTTGGAAATGCAGAATCTGGCCTTCCATTCCGAAACCTTGCACTCTTGCATCGGTTCTCCTATATATATAACCCAGCCCAAACAGCTCTCTGTTATCTTTACATGTTGTTTTCTCCCATGCCTATTGTTTGCATAGTTAAACTACAATTGTTGTATTCCTATATCTATCTCTATGCGTGTATGAAACGATGTAAAACCCGTACTTGTGCCTGCAGGATGGATGTGCAGGGGCTAACCTGAGGGACACTGGTCTTTTGACATGACACTTGTGTAAATTTTGATACTGTATTAAAACTATTTTTTTACAGTTCTGCATACGAGTGGGTATCAAGTATCTGTGTTCAGTTAGCAACGGTAATAAATTATACCATCTCACACTGTTTGCTCTCCTTTAATGACTGAAGCCACGAGGTGCTTGGCCTCCCATGAGGTTTGCTGGGAAGGAGCCGTTTGAAATGTTCCCTGCTTGGTTGAGGAATGAGCTGCACGTTGTGGGGTTTTGTTCACTTTCTCTCCAGGTGTCTTTAAAATCACTGTGGACTCGCTGCTGTCTGTTATGCTAAAGGAGGTAGGTGCTGTATGTATGATTTATGGACCGCGGGGAGCCAGGGACATGGGTTAGTGGTGGCCTTGGCAGTGGTGGGGTAAAGGTTGGGCTTGATGATCTTAAAGGTCTTTTCCAACCTCATTGATTCTGATTCTGTGCAGCAGCTCCAGGTGGCCAGGTAAGGCGTTAAGTCCCCAGCCCTGCTGCAAGGGCAGCCCCAGGGCATGTGTGCTGGGTTTTCCTCCCTGCTTCTTGCAGTGTGGCTTTGAGGCAAGATGAGGCAACGTGGAGCTCCCGCAGCTGTTCTGCTCAGGTAGGACACACAGGCATGTTGGGGGTCCTGGGGAGGCTGGTTGTGTCCCGCTGTGTGTCTCCTGTGCCCAGTGCATCTCTGGATGCCCCTGAACCAGCCCCCTTCATCCCGCTCCATGGGCTGTAGGGGCAAAAGGAAGGTGCTGTGAAAGGGCTGCCTGTCACTGCTCATGCTGGGAAGCAGAAAAGTAAATTTTCTGGAAGAAACCCAAACTCTGTACAATCAGGATCTTGAAGCTGTTAAATTGTTCTTTGTTGCCCCAGGAAGCTGTGGCTGCCCCATCCCTGGCAGTGTTCAAGGCCAGGTTGGACACAGGGTCTTGGAGCAAACTGCTCTAGTGGAACCCGTGGCAGGGGTTGGAGCTGGGTGAGCTTTAAGGTCCCTTCCAACCCAAACCATTCTGTTCCTCTATGTTTAAATCATGTCGGGGGTCCTGAAAATGTGGCTTACTAAGAGGAGAAAGTGGGTGGTGTGGGGAGAAAGAGGTGCAGTGCTCTTGAGGGTCCTGTAGCCTGCTGATAGGTCTCTGTGCTAATGAATAAAAACTGCTGTGGTAGTTATGGACCTTCATCTCATCCGATCTGCTCTCTTCCCACATGGTTAGGTGTTCTTCAGGAAAACATAATCTTGCCAAGCCTCATGAACTTCTTGTTCAGTTGTTTTTAGCATAATCCTGCTTCAGTTGAAAATCTCCAAGTGTTGTTACAGGGCCGTTCCCAGCTTCTGAACTGAGCATCAATGAGCTGTAAAGTTCATGATGCGAGTGAATTTTAAATAGCTCTTGCACAGCAGATGTAGTGGTGGATTTCACATTCTGGACTGCAGAAAAGCTGCTTTGCTGAAGGATTAGGAGATAAAGAATGGCAGTTTGTTTTCCAGCAAGTGAAAGGTTCCAGTGAAGCCTGTTCCCCAAAGGTTGCAGTTGATGGACATGTTTATGAACACAGCACAAAGCCCTTTGGAACGCTCTGAGCACAGCCACCCCAAACAGCCCCTGCAGCCCCCAGCCCTGTGCTCCTTTGTGCTGCCTGAACCTCTCAAACACCAAATGCCCCTCAGGCTTTCTGTGTCACTGCCAGGTACCTGCCCAGTGAATCCCGCTCTTCCCAGGGCACTGCTTCAGTTAATTCTTTATGTGGTTTGGAAATAAGTCTCTGGGGTGAATTCCTTATACCGATCTCACCCGTGTGATGCAGAAGAAAGTGGCTGAGCCTCTTTTTCCCCCCACTTTCAGGGGAGGGAAAAAATCTTGATACTGTCCTTCATTTTGAGTTGCTGCAGAACAGACCTGCAAATGCAGCTGCCAGGTATATAATGCCAAGACCTCCTTGTAACTCCACACTTGTGTTTTCCAGGCTTGGTGAGCCACGTACACAGGGACCCCAGCCATGCACGTCCCCAGCCAGCTACTAGCTCTGTGACTCTGGTCATCCAAACCTGAAGGTAAGAAGAGCTGACTCGATAGCAGCTCTGCTTGGGATGAGGAAAGAGTTTCTGCATTATTTAATCACCCAGCATTTGCTGGGCTGCCTCATAGTTCTGGTACTTTCTAGCATAGGTAGTAACGACCAGAGGTGAATAATGGGACAGCATTTACCACAGTTGGCAAATCACCTCTGATATCCACAGTATTAGGAGTGAGGGGGAAAGAGAAACTGCAAGAGGAAAAAAGGACAGGTAACCTTCTTGCTAGTAATGACTTTATCCTCTCTTTTGTCTTTCCTCTTTCTCATTTTTCTTTGTTTAGAAAGAACCTCTCCCCCCTCCTCCTTTGCTGACTCCAGACTCTTCATGGTTTTGATTTACCCCAGAAATAGCATGGTGTGACTGAGATTTCCAATATGTGGAAAAGAAACTTCAGTTGTTATGAAAAGCCAAATGCTTTTGGCTTTTCAAAAAGATCAGAGAGGAGAGAAAAGCTTACAAAGACTACATGGGATGCTCCTGAGCACTCCTGCTGACTTTGATGGAAGGTCAGGCAACCCAAAATGGGTAGTGTGAATGAAAATAAAGTTTAAAATAGTCTTATAAATAAATAATAAGTAATTTTAAATAGTTTTATAAATAAATTAAAAAATAGAACTATCATGTTTCAAAAACTTGAGAGATAACATGGACCAGAGACATGAACCTGACCTGAATGTTTCTTAACTGAGAAAGCTCAGACACTTCCATGGGGGTAATTAGAAAATTGAGACATACTCATTGGGAATGATGAAAATACAATAAAACTAGATTGTATTAAATAAAACAATATCTTCTGATATTAATAGGAGGTCTTTGCTGGCCGTGCTGGAGCCAGGCTATGGGGGGCTGCAGCTCAGGCGTTAGTGAGTGGTTCTTTTCACGCTACCGACTGGTGGGGAAGGACCTCAGGGACTTCATTGCCGCTTCCATCTGAAACAGCTTCCTGAACACCTGGCTCCCAAAGAAGTGCCAAAATAATACTAATGTATTATTTAATGTGTTTGTTAGAACATGATACTTACTCTTCACTTGCATCAGAATCTGTCAGAATTATCTCTTCAATGCAGTAGCCATGGCCCTGAAGTTTGAAGCTTCTTTGGTGGGTTTTTCCCAACTACTGTGAATAGGTTGAAGTGAACTTTAAAGTCATTTATTTATAGGTCTTCAGATGAAAAGTAAAGGAAAAAATAACCCTGGGAACCCATTTCCAGGTTCTGAAAAGGAAGACGACAAAGGGAAGGGGGATGAGGACCTGTCTTGCCAGGATCCCGGCTGCAGGTGCACCTTCTTGCAGTGTTTAGGGGACTAATGGGTACAGCTCCTTTTTTATGCAACCCACCTGTGTGTGGCAATCACAGAGGGCTGAGAGAAAGGCTGTGTGAGAAAGAAGGTGCTTTAATGCTTTCACATGTGATCTTATTATGTTTGTGGGTTGGGTTTGTTTAGCACTGCTCTTGATAAATGCCAGGGGACGGGGTTGGCCATGGGCAGTGGTGGTCCCTGGGCCTGAACACCTCAACCGTGGGGCAGGAGGAGGTTGATGTCATGGTATTTTCAGGAAGCTTTGCAAGTCCCTGGGGACACAAGGACATCTTGGCTCAGGCAAGCGCACCGAGCCCTGTTGAGCCGTAGCATCACTCACGGCTTAAGTGCAAAGATCACAGCGTGAAAGGGAAACACTCTCTGGGGGTTTGAGGTGGACTTTCAACATAGGATCCGGTTTGCTGTCGGAGTGGTGGGAATTGGCCAGAGCATCAGTCTGTGGCACAGGGCCGTCGAGCTGCTCTGTTTTCACAGGCATTAGAGCTCATCAGAGAGGAAACACACAATCTAAAAATACATTCTCTTCCTCCGGCCGCTGCAGGGAAGCGCTCGCAGACTGCTGCACGTGCCCATTTAGAAAGGCCCCGAGCACCCCAGAGCCCACCCTGCACAACCTTGAAAATCCCAGGAAAAGCTCACCCTGCAACACGGCAACGTTTCCATGGGAACTGTTCCTCTACTCCTGCTACTAAAACCTATGGCAGGAATGATAACAGGACCCAATTTCTGCACCAAACTACAAACAGCGAATGCTACAAAGGGAAGCGGTAAAGAGCAGGAGTGGAAATCAACAGAACTGATAAATGAGGTGCGTGTCTCTCCACAAAAACCCCACAAGCACATAAACAAAGCCCTTGGGAGGTGGGGGGAAAATCATCTTGATTATAGCACATCCAGCCAACATAAACCCCATGGATTGTGTGAAATCAGGTTTGTTCTTCTGATACGCAGCAGGAAACTCTGTAGCAGATCAAATATGTTCAGGGAGGCTGTCTTGCTAATTGCTGCTCCTAGCTGAGCCAAAGCAAACTATTTAGACAAAGGAGAGAATTCACTTTTTCTTTAGTATTAATTATGAAATAGCATGTCTGGATGGGCTTTCAATAACACTGTGTTTCCTGGGGAAACAAAAATGAAGTTCTAATCCTGTGAAATAATTGCAGAATTAACACCTTGCTCCAGGCTGGAACCCCAACATGTGCTTACAATTAAGTGCAAGATGAGTGAGGTCTTGGATAAGACCTTTCCTTCAATCACAGCAGATTATGAAACTCATTTTAAAGCCCTCTTTATAAGCATTCTTGTGTGTTCTCACTTACACGGGTGTTAAAGCAGCGCATTCTTTCTGTTGTGGCTTTCACATTTCCTCTTAGTATTTCTTTTTTAAGCCTGTTGTTATGGTCATTTTGCTCCTCACTAAAGATTTGGCTTCTCACTAAAGATTTTGCACTAGGTATTCTGGGGCTTGAATGGGGCATTTGGGCGCTTTGTGCTCATTCTGTGCTGCCAAGAGCCTACCAAACACTTACTGCAGGGTTTATTTTCCTCCTGTGCTTTCCTCCTGCTCAGAGCAGCTTCGCTGAATATTAGCACTTGTAGCCACAGACAAATGAAACCAAAGTGGCAAGGAAGAAGCTGTGATACTGAATGCCAGAAGGTTAACCACCTTCCACACCTGGACAACAGGAATGGGGTCACTGATGTTCTGGCTGTGTGGTCGTGGGGCACAACAGAAAAGGGGAGCAATGATGAACTTGTAAGTATGTGCAGCCAAGCTTGTAGGAAGATAGGAGTAGGAACTGGCTGAGGTTGAAGGCTGCTTCTTACCGTTGTGTAATGGCTCATAGTGATCGCTCTCTTAGGTTTAGCTTTCTTTGACACCAAGCTTTGAATATGCCTAGCTGCAAAAACTGCTTCTTGAGGGCCTTCTACTCTGGGAGGTGCCATCTAGAAGGACATCTAGAAGGGAACAAGAGATCACAAATAGCGTGAGGACCTCTAAATCACAAGCTTTCTGGTTCAGTTTCTGCCTCGCTGAACCACGCTGATCCCCTCTGCCCTTGTTTAGCTGCACCACTGTCCATCAGGTCCCTGCAGAGATGTTATTTTGTTGGGGCACACAGTGTCACCCTGCTGCATCGGGGTACTGTGCCTCACTGGCAGGCCTGTGGGCAGCTTTAAACAGTCATAGGTCTTTAGGACTGGAAGGAGAGTGTATGTTAGATGCCTTTTAATGCTGAAAACACTTGGGAGGAAAAAAAGGCACATCATATGTCATAACTATTGAGCCTTTCAGAATGATGCATGAATTAAGAGCCACTACTGAAGTTACGTGCAGCATAGTAAGAGAATAATATATACTATTAGTTTCCTAGTTGCCAGGATCAATACTTAGCTTGGTACAGCCTCCCTTTTGCTGAGGTGCTCCCACGTGCTCTGTGGGTCTGCGTGCAGGTGCACACCTGCACACACCAGGCTTTATTTGAGGGTCACTGACAGAAACAGGCCTTAGGTTAGGTGAGAGTCTGGTGCGTGGTGCAGTTAGAGGGTGTTGTGGGTTGGGTCTGGTGCAAAGTCCATTCTCTGCTATAATGCCCCAAAGGGAGTGTATTTCTTTTCATAAGGCTCCCAACACAGTTTCATAGAATCATAGAATAGTTAGGGTTGGAAAGGACCTTAAGATCATCCAGTTCCAACCCCCCTGCCATGGGCAGGGACACCTCACACTAAACCATGGCACCCAAGGCCTCGTCCAACCTGGTCTTTCTCACTTTCCTGATCAAAGTAATGGAACCAAACACTTAAAAGGAGAAACCAGAATAAAATCACAAGCAAAAAGGTCTGTGACCAACCTGGTTATCTCTATCTTTGCATTCAGTGGCATCTGAATGAGTGATTCTAAAGTAAAACATTCTCCCTTGGGATAGTCTGCTCCCCACAGACAGGTAGAGCACCTTGTGTCCAGATGAGGTAACCTGTAGCTAAGAGGACTCCAAAGCTTCCTGATTTAATCACAGCAAATCAATTATGTGTACCTATTAAACAAAACAAAAGATTTTGCCTCCAGTGATTAATTCTAGCTAGAAATTGTTGTTAAAATATTCATCTTGGTTTGCTAATGGCTTTAAAAAGGGGGGAAAAGGTGAAATAATGATGAATGATTAAACCTTGTCTCCATAAATCCCATTAATTACATTTGGGGAAAAATGAAATAGATGTTGAAGGCAGTATGCTCTCAGATGGCTTCACTAGAAGGGCAAAGCTACATAATGGGCAAATTACTGTTTGTTTCTGTACAGGAAAATAGCCACTCTGTATCCAAAGGGGTCACAAACCCCATTGTTCAGGTGAGTCCCATGGGGAGAACCTGGCCAGCTTGTCCCCAGACCCAGGGCTTAATATGGCAAAGCAGAGCTGCCCCCAAGCAGCATCCTTTGCCTGTTAGAAAGGGCTCTTTGGGCTTGATGCGCTGCACGTGTTTGGCAGCCATGGGCAGGGAGAAAGGCAGGAAGGCAGTGGTGTATTTCTGTAATCATAAATTATGCTGTATGTTACCTGGAGTTCAGTCTCTATAAATCCTGCATTGACCCTGATTGCATGTGGCTGTAATTAAGCTGTCCAACAGAGTGGGTCTGGCTGGTGATTACACACCGGGGCCTGACCGCACGTGACGGCAGGGGAAAGGGGTCAGGCACCTGAGGACCTCGACAAGCCTCTTGTGACCAGATGAGCTGTTACCACAGTTCAATCAGGCTTTGGAAAGCACACCGAAACAATTCCTAACAAGTCAACAGGATAGGAGTGGCCTGCAATCATCTGCAGGGGAAGCTGTTCCACTGGTCCTGGCATGTGCCTGCGGCTGAGTGCCAGCAAGGAGCTGTGTGGACCAGCCTCTTGGGTCTGCAGATGTGCAGGGCTCATCTCTGTGCGCTGGGCACCCATTGCCCTGTGTTTGATCCTCTTGGATCATCCTCACAGTGAAAAGACTTTCCTTATATCTGCCCAGCGTTCCCACTTGTTGCTTGTCCTTTCACTGGGCACATGTGGGGAGATGTATATGCCTTGTGCTCCAGCCCCTTGCCATCCTGGTGGCCTCCACGCACTCATTCCAGTGTATCCATCTCCACCTGGGGAGCCCACGACTGGACCCAGCACTCCAGATGTCTCACCAATGCTAAGTACACTGGAAGCATCACCTCCCTCAGCCCTGTTTGATAAGCCTTATAATGCCGTGGAGACAAAGACTATGTTGGTACCCTGACAGAATGGAAATGACAGGAATATTCATACATAGCATCCACAGAAACGACAGGAATATTCATATATAGCATCCATAATCCATATGTGCTTACGTTAAGTAATAACGTTACTGTGTCCAGCAAAACGTCTCTGCGGGTGCTAATGGAGAACTGAGATGGATGTAAAGGCAGACATGTGCCAGCACTGTGCAATAAACCTGCTGCTCTGAACTCGTTCTGGAGACACAGTCACACTGAAAAAGGAACAGGACTACTCCAGACCACGCAGCTCCCTTGGCCCTTTGAAGCTCTTCCTTGTCTCAGATGATCGGTCCATGTGACCATATACTTGTCTTTTTCCCTGCTAATATCCATGCCCTAGCAGGAAGAAGGAACAATAGAGAGCAGATAGCTTTTGATAGCATTCAGGCAGTGATCTGATCTGCTCCTGAGCCCTGCTGAGACGACAGCAGATAAGGTTTTATCTTTGATCTTGATGAAATAATCGATGCTCAGCATCCTTCAGCACTGCTCATGCGTCGGGTGAACATTTCCTCCTCTGCTTTGGTTCTGTGCTGTTGCCGAAGGGACCGAAGGGCTCGTTCCTGCCCACGTCTCCGTCCCAGGGAGCTGCCAGCGGGTCCTGAGGCCTCTTGCTTGCCTGGTTAGTGCTGTGGGGTGGAGGTTTCATGGCCTTGGGACCAGCTGACCATGGCAGGGCGCCTGTAGGGATGGTGAATGTGACCCTGCCTGTCACCGTGGCACCTACCCTGATGTGAGCAGCAGCCCAGGGAGGGGATTCTCCCCCTCTGCTCTGGAAGACCCCCCCCCCCACACACAGCCCTGATCCAGCTCTGGGGCAGCAGCACAAGAGGGACATGGAGCTGTTGGAGTGAGGCCAGAGGAGGCCATGGGGATGCTGCGAGGGCTGGAGCAGCTCTGCTCTGGAGCCAGGCTGAGAGAGCTGGGCTGGGGCAGCCTGGAGAAGAGAAGGCTCCTGAAGGGGAGACCTGAGAGCAGCTCCAGTGCCTGAAGGGGCTGCAGGAAAGCTGGAGAGGGGCTTGGGACAAGGGATGGAGGGACAGGCCAAGGGGAATGGCTTGAACCTGCCCGAGGGGAGACTGAGCTGAGCTCTTAGGCAGAAGCTCTTCCCTGTGAGGGTGCTGAGGTGCTGGCACAGGGTGCCCAGAGAAGCTGTGGCTGCCCCATCCCTGGCAGGGTTCAAGGCCAGGTTGGACACAGGGGCTTGGAGCAAGCTGCTCTAGTGGAAGGGGTCCCTGCCCTTGGGAGCAGGGGTTGGAGCTGGAGGAGCTTTCAGATCCCTTCAACCCAAACCATAACACGATTCCATGTGGCAGCTCTGATATAGCCACGCTCCGCGTATCTCTCGCGCTCTATACCTCAGCACTGGTGAGGGCAGCAGGGCTGCGGTGGCTCCTTGCTCCTTGCTCCTCTGCCCTCCGGTCTCTCAGCGCTGTTTCTTACAGGACTCCCTTCCCTCCCCTCCCCTCCCCTCCCCGCTGGCCGCCATTTTGTGTGTTCCCATCCGGGCTCCCCTCAGGTGCCTGTG